CTCCTGTGAGACAGCAAGGACACATTTCAGCTATCTTAAATACCTCTTGCAGAAAATCTCCCCAAGATTTGTAAGGTCTGTTCTCCAGTCAAATTTCCAGTAGTGGCTGTTTCTGTTTGGACTTCTTCAGAGTACTTTTCTATAGTCACTGGTGTACTTCTCTACAAATACTCTATTTGTCACTAGACTTTCCAGTGCTTTGATAAATTTAGTACATATCAAATGCCTCCTTTTTGCTATGGAGAGAAGTTCAGTGTTGCCTGGTGTTACACCATCACATGAGCAGCTCTAGCTAACATGTTTGTGATATTTCACTAGGGGGAGACAGCTCACTTTGAATACCTGAACCACCCAATACATTCTGCTTCCATTACTGGCTTGGATACCTGCATTCGCAAGCCCCTCGTTGCTACCTGTTCACTGGACAAATCTGTCCGCATCTGGAATTATGAAAACAAGTAAGGGGACATGATCTGTTGCACAGCCTTTTGATTTGTACTCGGACTATGAATTGTACTCAGACCATGAGTGAGTAGCAATTCACTACAGAGCCCCAGGCAATCATCAGGACAAGTGTCAGTCCTATTCTGATAAATAGAACCTGCTTATATTTACTCAGAGAACAAAATAATATTAAGAGATGGTGCTTGCTCTAGAAATCAGTTGATAGGCAAGGTTCAGATACATAATTGTACTTCTTCATGGGACTCCTGTGTATGTAACAGAAATATAACCCTAGTTCTAAATCCAGAAAAATCCATTAAAAATCTGGAGCAATCAAAATTAGAAAGCCTATTTCTTTTATCAACTTTAGGTTTTAAAAATGACAATTTTATTGTTCGTTCTGGTTATACAAATTGATTCTCATGTGATGCTGAATTAATTTGGTTGCCTGACAGTATGAACTGCCTGTCATGTGAAAAATTATTTTTGCTGCCCTGGTGTATGCATTGAAAGGGACTGGTATATCTATGATGCTGTCAAGTTGTCTTTCTTCCCCTTTGTTCACTGTTCCCCAGCATTTGACCTTCTTGGGGGAACTGTGACCAAAAATAGCACTAGGTACAACTTAGCTGCACAGAAGCATGGTCTGTGCTTTGATTGCCATTGTTGCTCTTGCTGCAGCACACTGGACCTGTACAAGGAATACCAAGAAGAGGCATATGCACTTTCCCTTCACCCTAGTGGACTGTATGTGTTGGTTGGTTTTGCTGACAAACTCCGACTTATGAATCTGCTTATTGACGACATCCGAACTTTCAAGGACTTCACTGTACGAGGGTGCAGAGAGGTGAGCAGTGCAGGGAAAGGAACTGGTGGAGGAGCTTGAATGGGGAACACCAGATTGGGAGGTGGCACAGGCACTTTATGACTAGTAAGTTGTGTTACCACGTTTGCTTGGAACAGGTCTCTCCCTGCCCACCTACAGACTATTTTTCTGTGTTCAGGAAATAACCCATACCAGAACACAATTTCTGGGGGAGATTTTGCTCAAATATGCTAGAGGAATTTCCCCACATTCTGCTGGAATACAGAGTAGGGTGTGATCCCAGAAGGGTGATTTCCAGGTACATACAAAAAGACTATTGCCTTCTTCCTATGGAATAAGTAGAGTCTTCGAGTTAGGTAGAGTTTAGGATACTTCTTGTAGCTGAAGTCTCAGGGTTCCCTGTTGCTAATCAATTAGGCTAGGATTTGAAGGAAGATTCAACATTTAAGCATTTCAGAAGGTTTCATGCCAGTATACAGTGGTACCTCCGGTTACGAATGGGATCCGTTCTGGAGACCCGGCCGTATCCTGAAATCTTTGTAACCAGAGGTGCCCTTCTGCACACGCGGCGCGATTAAGCGCTTCTGCACACGCACGGTGTGCAGAGCACTTCTGTGCATGCGCATGTGGCGAAACGTGGAAGTATACACTTCCAGGTTTGCAACCCGAAAGTTACGTTACCCGAAGGTATACGTCCACTGTATAGTGTGCGGACACTCCCTTTTCCATTTCAATAGAGTTCAGTGGGACCCTCAAGTAACTTTGTCCTAGTTTGGTAGGTCCTTAATAGCTCACTTTCCCAGACAAAATTTGGAGCCCAAGGAGGGGCACAAAATAGCAGAATACCACTCTCTGACAACAGATGCATCTGGTTGTGATGAAGGATGATTAGAGGCTGTTTTCTGCATGGCCTCCAAATTATGGATATCTGGTACCTTCACAAAGAGGTTACCTATGTGAAGTCTCGTTGCTTCATGCTGTCTCCTGCTTCTCTCTACAGTGTGCCTTCAGTACAGGAGGTCATCTGTTTGCAGCAGTAAATGGAAATGTGATTCACATTTATTCTGCCACAAGTTTTGAAAACATCATTAACTTGAAAGGACACAATGGGAAGGTCAGTAAGTGATGCCTACAATACAGGTAGAATAGTACATTAAACTGAATATATTTGAAATGCCAAAAGAACAGGATTTCTCAAAAAGCTGGTTTTGAGGCTCTGCCTATGATTGAATTCCTTTTTGTTATTACAAAGGCACTAGAAACTAAAGAATAGGAGTGAAGGATTAAAAATACTCCAAGGTGCTCCTGAGTATAGTTCTCTGGCAGTGCAGATATAATGGAATCAGCTTTCTCCTCTGTTACGTGCAATAGCTTAGGTTAAAAGAAAGCCAGCATTTTTACAGTACTTTGTAATCCTATACACATGTAGAGTAAGTCCAATTGAACTCAGTGGGACTTATTACTGATTTTAATAGGAATGTGCTTAAATTTCTCTTGCTAAAATAGTAGGGCTTAAAAGTGCTTTTTGTTTGTCTGGGCTCGGTTTATCAAGAAAACAGATATATTATTTAATGTTTGTTTACTGAATTGCCAACAACCTGTTAGATGACTGTGGAGATGACATTCCCTCCAACATCCCTTGCCGTAATTGGCCTCCCAAATATCTGTGCAAAAAAGACTTGAATTTAAGAACTTTGACCCAATGAATTTTAAGGAACAAGTGGATTCCTCTTGAACTGTCATCAGCCCTGCTTTGATGCCCTAGTGATCACAAATAGGTAAATTCCAAGCTTATGAAATGTTTTGAGATAGCTCCATAAGTTCCACCCATGATTACCTACAGCAGTTCAGTGCCCTCTTATCTCACCATTTTGTGCTTGTGAGTCCAATTTATAGTGAAAGAAGCTGAAGCTTTGCTAAGGAAAGCATGGGGACTATCTGGGATGGAATGAGATAAGACTTATTAGAGATAAGGGAAAAGGTTAAACAGAATAAAGCAAGTTTGTAAACAGCCACTCTTATGTGATGAGAATTGCCTCCAGGCAACTAGGCAGATAATTTATTATAATTTGGGAGAGTTTCATAAATAATTTTATAATTGACTCCAGTATTTATAAACAATTTTAAGTTACTACAATATACACAAGAGCAAGGTGAATGTGAAAATGAAGCAAATACCTTTTTAACTGAGTTATTAGAAATATGTATGGGTTCAAAAGCTACAGAGCATGTTTTTTATTATTCACTTTTTATTGATTTGTCACAAAAGGCATAGAACTTTGAGCAGGAGAGGACAAAATCTGAGGAGCAACAAGGACAGATGGTAATCTGCAGGCCTTTCCTTGTCACTGGCTATTAGCTATGATGTGTTTGGAGACCAAATGCGTGAGCTGTCATAACTTTGAATTCAGTTCATGAACATAATTCCTGACCCTCTTAGCCTGACCTACTGGATTATAATGGGAATCTGTATCTTAACTGCTTACAGGTAAACTGTGAGCACAAAGGACACAGGGTGAAAAGGGGCTGTGTTCTGTGAGTTTCTTATGTAAAAGGTTTGATGCAATGACACCAGGTAAACAGGCAGAGTACCAAGCAGCAACCTGTCTCTTGTGCCTAAGTAAGGATTGCCTGAGCATTCTATATATATTCTCACTCGCCCCTCCAGGTACGCGCAGTGGTGTGGAGCATGGATGACTATAAACTGGTCTCCTGTGGCACAGATGGGGCAGTATATGAATGGAACCTCCAGAATGGCAAGAGAGAATCTGAGTGTGTGCTCAAGTCCTGCAGCTACAATGGAGTGGCAATATCACCCGATGCAAAAGTCATATTTGCTGTCGGATCTGATCATAGCATCAAGGAGATCTGTGATTCTGCGGTGAGCTCATGTGCAGACACTTATGGAGCTGATCAAAGTGCAGCAAACAATGCAGAAGAAAGTGAAGCTCAGTGAACCCAGTGCTGTAGCCAGTGGCAGAGCTTCATACTCCAGCAATGGGGGGGCGGAGAGCAGGCGGGGGCGGGGTGCCCAGCGGGGGTGGGGGGCAGCCAAAATGGCACCCTACTGGGATTGCGCTCCCAGGGGTGGTGCGCTCCCCCCGCACTCCTCTTCCTCCGCCAGTGGCTGTGGCTTGCCCTCCAGCTTTTAACACCAGTGGTTGCCTATGCCATGTAGTGACAGTTGTGTTCATAGTTTCCTTCTTCTCTATAAGAGTATAGCCATCTATGGAATCTATACCTTGCCTTGGTTGCCAAAAATTGTGGGTTTCTTCCCAGTTATGAAGTTGAGAGGGAAATTCATGACTCTTGAGGCGTTGAGAGGATAACAGGACATTCACAGTGGAGAGAATGAATAATGGATTTGTGTACCCTCTGCCACTTTCCAGTGCAAATTTAATCCTTGCTGAGTGACTTGCTAAAAGCATGGTGGGTGTCCTTTCTTTCAGATACTGCGAGAAGTGCCCACTTTTGAAGTTGCCTACACTTTCATAGTGGTATCTCATTCTGGACGCATGGTGTTCGCCGGAACCTCTGCAGGTACCATTCGGTCCATGAAATACCCACTACCTGTGCACAAGGAATACAATGAATACCAAGCCCATGCTGGTCCAGTCACCAAGGTAAAGGCCAAGTCAGTCTCCAGGTCAACTTAATTGCCATAGCCTTTATTTATCCCTTCTTTTTCTGAGTCTGCAGCAACAAATAATGAAAGGAGGCACACCGTATATCACGCAATGAGCCACAAATGGGCATATCTAAATATGATATATTTATTGTGTATCAAAGTAGCTTAATAAGAATGACAATAGACAACAGAGTCTCTAATCACAGTAATGAGGAAAGTAATGAGAATGAGTTCTACCTAAACAGTACACCCATCAGCCTCATTCTCGGAGTCTTCCAAGCTGAGTGTATGTAGCTGGGAGAGTGTAGGGGAAATCTCTCTGGGTTGCTAGCTTCTCAGACACTGGAGTGCAACATTTACAGCATTGTTGCTGTACAGTACTATTTTTAAAATGTTATTTCATCCAGAAGGCTTGTTTATCACTTATGCTTTCACCATAGGTTCCAGTAATGTTGAGAGCAAGGGCGTGAGGGTGACTGTGCTTCTTGGTGTCATGTTTAAAATCAGTCTGCTACTGTGCCTCATTAAAAAGATAAGACTGAGATTGATAATGAGAGCGAATGGAAAAGCCACTGAAAACAAGGACAAGTTGTTAATTAAATGGATTCTGAGGAATGGACAGTAGCCTGACAAATGGCAAGGGGAATGCTTGGAGCAAAATGGGGAAAGTGGAGAAGAAGAGATATCACTAGAGGCAAAGAGATGGATATATTTTTAAAATAATTGATCCTTATTAATCCACCCGGAGCATCTTCTTCTGATTCTGCCAACTGCCCTTTCTTTTCTCTGACTCTCCAATTGTGTTTTATTGGAGTTCCGTATGCCTTTTTTTTCTCCACAGATGTCCATAACAGCTGATGATCAGTTCCTACTAACATCTGCAGAGGATGGCTGCATATTTATCTGGAAAGTTTATGACAAAGAAGGGCGGGGGTTGAAAAGGGAGAGAGATGTGCCATACTCTGATGAAGTATTGATCACTAGAACAGACATGGAAGAGAAGGTCAGTACGGATGAGTATTGAAGTGGGAAGGGAACACATCAGAAGACTGCGTCAACTAACCCAAATGTGCTTTATCTCCATGGGGGCAGCACTTACCCAGTACATATCATGGCCCTAGTAGAGAGGAGACAGCAGGTTTGAATTAGCCTTATAATACAAGAATCAAACACTGTACACTTAAAATAGAGCTCATGAGCTACATTGCTCCCTGTCCTGAAACCTACTTCCCATGTTATAGGAAATGCATATATATGCCCAGATACAATATATGCTGTCTTTATATATGATAGTTTTTCAGATAAACGTGAAGGGCAGGATTCACCTGGCACCCATCAGTGGAAGTCCTGTGCAAGGACTTCTGCTTGTGCAGTAGGGCTTCTTCCCCCACCTGCTTGAAATGGGCTCGGTGGGGGTTGGGAGAACCCCCCCAGAATAGCATTCAGGGGGAAGAGAGGGGGCATTGTTCTGCATGGCATGCTAGAATGCTTGCACTAATGGAACGATTTGAAGGCCACCATTTTGAATTCCACCTGAAATGCCTTGTGTGTATCCATGACAAATTTAACATATGAAACAGCCCTAAAATATGGATCTGGCAAGATACTGTGTACAGTAGATTTTTATTTAATTTGCATATCTGAATGTTTTGCCACCAACTTCTTTTCTTATGATTCCTTACCCTGCAGACTCAGATCATGTTAGAACTAAAAACACGTGTAGAGGAACTGAAGATGGAAAATGAGTACCAGCTGCGCCTCAAGGACATGAATTATAATGAAAAGATTAAAGAACTAACTGAGAAATTCATCCAGGAAATGGAATCACTGAAAACCAAAAACCAGGTGAGCAAATAACTACAACTCTCAGCATTATTGTGTCTTCTTTTTCCCATCATGCAGTCACCTGAGGGATTTGAAGGTTGGTATGCCTAGTTTCAGGTGTAATTCTCATCTCTGTGTATTTCAGGTTTTGAAAGCAGATAAAGAAAAGCAGGAAGCACAGCACCAGGAACAAGTTGCAGAACTAACAGAGAAGCAGGCAAGAGAGGTGCAAGACCTAGGTTAGGAGGACTTTAAGTCACACTTTCCTGCAGACTGTGAGAAAGGGCTTCAGTCCCTATGGTGAAAGATGAAGAAAGAAAACCTTTCCCGTGCTGAGTGTTTGTCGGTCATGGCAAAGGGGCAACTTAGAGGATTGAGTACATAGGCATATTGACAATAATTTGCTTGAATGTAACTGGAATTAACTCATCTTTTTAATTATAATTATATCTCCCTGCCAATAAAGGCAGGAAGAAATGAGCAAACCTAATAAAGAAGAACATAAAGGGGCAATAGATAAGCAGGGCATAGTAAGGTAGGTAACTTTCTGAAAACGGGAGATACCTTTTTAAAGCGTCTTATCTCTGTAAGCCACCAAGAAACAAGGTTTTACTGCACACTTCTTCCATGGCCATCAGTATATTACTGTCATTGCAAAGCCACCACAAGTGGAGTAGTCTGTATCATCTTAGCATCTGCACAGCATTATGCACGTCACATCATTCCCACTTTTGGGGGGATGGCATACAGAAGTTAATCCCCCAGTATTTTCTTTTGTGCCTAAAAAGCCAGAACTACTGAGTATGGAGTTCTGATGTAGACGCACCTGTAAAGAGTGTGCAAATGGGGCTTCAAAGCTAGTGATCAAGGAATAGTATGAGCTAGAGGAGAGAGATGTGAGCAGGCACCAAGATGTGGGGTCTAAAACGGCTCCCTAAGACTAAGGATATCTGGGAGAGGACAAGACATACCTTACTTTTTAATACATCTCCCTACCCCCACCCCACCCACCCACCCACATTAATTTGTTTTTTAACTTCAGAATCTGGCAATAACCAGAAGCTTCTGCTGGAGTTTGAGAAGTACCAGGAGCTTCAGATGAAATCCCAACGCATGCAGGAGGACTATGAGAAGCAGCTTCATGAAATGGAAGAGCACAAAAACCAGGCGCTGGAGGAGCTGACAGAATATTATGAGGCAAAGCTGCTTGAGAAAACCACTCAGCTGGAAGAGGTATGAGCTGTGATGGTTTCATTTTTATTTCTTTTTAAGGATGGGCGCAGTTCTACCATGCTTGAAGTTACTACCGATTCAGCCCTTCATCGCTCTTCTGACTTCCACTAGCTGTGCTCTGAAGTTGAGCTCTGATCTGTGTACACTCTTGTCCTTGCCCCTCCTGATTAGGCAACCATCTCCCATCCCAAACACAGATCTTTCCAGTCTTCTTCTTCCCTGAGTGCCACATGTTACTGCGTTTAACTTACAGTTCTCTCAGATAAAACCCCTAGGCAGGCTGACCTGTTTCTGGCTTAGGATTGCCATATTTCAAAAAGTAAAAGTAAACCACGCCAACAAAAAGTCTCTGTATGACAACATTCATACCGTATTTTTCGCTCTATGAAACACACTTTCCCCCTCCTAAAAAGTAAGGGGAAATGTGTGTGCATCTTATGGAGCGAATGCAGGCGGGAAGCTCTCAGGCTGGTTCACAGAAAAGATCAACATAAAAACCACAAAATATATAATCAAAATAAAAACAACATTCCAATAACACCCCCCCCTTTAAAAAAAGAGCCACTCTACTGGATCCTACTAAGCAAGTTTCACAACTACAGAGATTCTAATTTAAAGTACTCTTCAAGTAGATTATTCTCAACCCTACTCACCTGTCCTTTCTGGCTGAAGTCAATGACAGCTCCAAACTCTCATTTTTTCATCCTTACTGTACTCAGAGTGACATAAGTAGCTGGATGTTTCTATCATTCACCTTTCCATACATATGCTTTTTAATATCCAGACTCGCCCACCTGTCAGAGTTCACCTGCAAGGTTGGTGGAGGTAAAAATCTGGTGCACTGGTCAGATCCATTTACCCACCACTAATTTATGAACTGGGTCATTCAGTGCTTTTGTAACATGTAATTAAGCCTCCAGCACTGTAACATCATGTTGCTGCATTGCCATCCCCGGAGAGCTTGTGTCAATCTGCCTCATCTCCAAACTAGCCCAGGGTCTTGCCTCTCCCAGGCAATCATTTCAGTCTGATCCCTTAACAGTCTGGCTCCTTTAACTCCTCCTTTTTACTTTTCTCCTTCCTAACTTTCAGGCTCAAGATGAATCAAGAACTCAGCTCCGAGAATTTGAGGAAACTAAGAAACAAATTGAAGAAGATGAGGATCGAGAAATCCAGGACATAAAAATTAAGTATGAGAGGCGACTTCGTGAGGAAAGAGAATCAAATTTGCGGCTAAAAGGGGAGACAGGAATCATGAGGAAGAAGGTATGCTCACCTGTTTCAGGCTATCAGATTTCTGGTTTGTGATCATTTATTTCAAGATGTATATACCACTTTCTCTGCTAACAAAATGACAATAAAATAGATAATAAGAGTAGATTAAAATTATAAAAAGCAACACAAATTTTAATACCCAACTGTCTATTGAAACAGTGTCACAGAAATGTCAACAAAAATCTGTTTTACATCTAATGTAAAATTATTTCCTAAAATGCAAGGTTTTATCTAAAGGCTGGAATGCTAGCAAAGGGCCAAATTAAATGTTATGTTAATTGTACAAATGGCCCTTGCATGCTTGTTTTTCTTTAATTGTCAGATGATTGACAGGTGGGTCATCCCACCCACCTGTCCAACTCCCTTATGCAGTGCTTCCCAATATCCAGCTGCCTATTAGGTGTTTGGGAAGTTCTGTGTAAAGTGCTTGGCATGCTCAGCATTTTCCAAGCACCCAGTATAGGGTTGGCAAAGCTCCTTTCTGCAAGGATCAGCTGTTTGACCGAGTTTCCCATTAGATTTGGTTGCACAGCCAATCCTGCAGGTTTGAACTCACTGTCCATCAGTTGATGGGCCATGATCAACTCTGCTTCCTGAAGGCATCAGCTGTGCAGGGATATGGAGATGCCCACCATGTAGCTTTCACTGATTCTTGTCAGCAGTTCTCATGGAGCTGTTGCTGGGTGAGACACTGGCTTCAGACTGAAAGATACCTTATGCTTTTTTCTCTAGTTCAACAGTCTGCAGAAAGAGATTGAAGAGCGCTGCAGTGACATTGAGGCAATGAAGGTGGAGCAGCAAAAGTTGCAAGGAATCATTAAAGCCTTAGAGAAGGACATCCAGGGGCTGAAGAGAGAGATTCAAGAAAGAGATGAGACCATTCAAGACAAGGTGAGGTGCTTGGATCTATGCTCCTTTCCCACCCCTCTACCCCCAGCTGGATTTTGCTGTCCAAATCTACAAAGGCTCTGAATTCTTAGAATTCATTATCCCTTCTCTGATATTTCTGGCACTTTTCCTTTTTCCTCCTCATATGCCACCTTCCCACACATTGTCTCTTGACTCCACTGATGTAGGGCTGAAGTTGTAAGAGATCCCCACTCACCTCATGTCTCTATTTTATTTGTCCCAGGAGAAGCGAATTTACGATCTAAAGAAAAAAAACCAGGAACTGGAGAAGTTCAAATTTGTACTAGATTATAAAATAAAGGAGTTGAAGAAGCAAATAGAGCCGCGTGAGAATGATATCAAAGCTATGAAGGAGCAGATCCAGGAGGTGAGAAGCAGTTTAGGCAGCCCACTCCCAGCCCTGAAGCTGGGCCAGCTTGAAAACCATAGCAGGCCACAGGCCTCCTTTAAAACCTCTTCTCGTCTCATGCATCTGTGCAGATGGAAGGAGAGCTGGAACGTTTCCACAAGCAGAACACACAACTGGAACTGAACATATCAGAGCTACGGCTAAAACTGAAAGCCACAGACCGGGAGATGCACAAAGAGATGCAAAAGGTGTGTCAAATGGCAGCTGAAAAAAGTGGTACACCAAATTATAACTGGTCCTTCTTTAGGGTGTCATATACAGACTAAGATGAGCTCTAAAGTTTCCTTCCATCTTTATGATTCTGTAATGGTAATTGAAATTTTCTTCCACTGAATCTAGTGTTTAAATTTCACATCAAAGCAAAGGTAATGACAAATGTGTTGGGGCTGCTCTAATATAATAATTTAATAGGTGACTTTGCACAAGCCTGTCCATGACTTGATGACTTGCATATGTAAAACAACAATTTCATTTCAGGCTTTCACATTATTTTGTATCTCCTAAAACTGAATGCTCTGCTTTTTCCTGAAGACAACTTATACAGTCAGCTGTCGGTTAGCAAGCTATGTAGAGCTGGAAATTCAAGTGATGAAGAAGTACTGTGGGATTTGAAATGTTTAACGGGGTCCCGATAGGTTGGGTACCCTCTGGCCAGTATTTGTACCACAGACAATTTGTGAGATGTAATTTGAGCCAGAGCAAGGAAGCCTCACCAACAGGCAATGTATTCTGCTGTATCAAGCTTTGGTGTTCCTCTGACTGCAGGAACGAGACATGGAAGCACTTGTCAAGCGATTTAAAACAGATCTTCACAACTGTGTAGGCCTCATCCAGGAACCCAAGAAACTGAAGGAGAGCATCCGGGATATCTATGAAAAGTATGTGCAGAAGGCAGATATGGTAAGTGAAAGTTCTTCTCTCTCAGCAGCAGATACCCACCATACTTCCTTTGAGCTCACTTCATTTGCTCCATCAGGTGGAAATTGTTGGCGTTGACACAGACTTGCATCAAGAGTACACACGGCAGCGAGAGCATCTTGAGCGCAACCTGGCAACACTGAAAAAGAAGGTGATAAAAGAAGGCGAGGTACATCGTGCAGACTATGTGCGCATCATGCAGGTACTAGCACTGTGAGGGGAACTGGGCAGGTCCACTCTTCTAAACTGCTATAAGAAAAAAGTTCTATTTGCTCCATTCCCAGGTCCAGAAGGTCCAGAAATTTCAGTTTAAATAATGAATTTCAAATGTGGATTTGAAAAGTACTGTGGGTGGGATTCACCTAACGAGTCCCATCAGCAGAAGCCCTACACAAGAACTTCTACTGGCACAACTGGGCTTTCCCATGTGCCCCCTAATTGGCTCTGCAGAGCTCAGGAGAACCCCTGTTTTGTTTTAATAGATAGGCAATGCATACCTGGCAAATATGGAGAACACAAGAGGCATCCTCCATTCCTTTATACTCCAAAGCATCTGCTTTGTTTAGCTCTTGGTCTTGTTCTGCATATCAGTATGCTTTTCCACAATGTCAGCAATCTCTTTTTGGTGTATAGACAGTAAATTTCCTATCACCTTAGCTATGCTACATCTTGTTTCTGTAGGAAAATGTGAGCCTCATCAAGGAAATAAATGAGCTGCGGAGAGAACTGAAGGTCACCCGTACTCAAGTTCTTGACCTCCAGTCAACCTTGGGGACTCCTTATGAAACGCAAGAAGCAACCAGCACAATCCCTAGGTAACCAAGTTGTTATTCAGCTCACTTTCCCCTTCTGCTCTTTCCCATAAAATGTTTCCATTTCTTTCCTTTTGGCCCCTTTCCCCTAGAACAGGGGTGGGCAACTGTTTTGTTTCCAAGGGCGACATACAGCTGTTGGCGGTGCTGTATTGCTAGTGGGAGGGGTTGATCAAAAGTTGGCTGGCATGTGTAAGTCTCTCATGTTCTACACTCACTTTGGTATTTTGTATTATCTAAAAGATTATGTTCTGCTGCTATTGTAGATGCTGATCCAATTTTAAAATGCACCTTACGTACTTTATAGTCATATTGCTCTGGGATTAACACAGTAACAGTTGTCTTTGCAAAACAACTGGTTGTGAGCAAAGCAAAAGCCTAAGTTTCAGTTCTACTTTTCTGCAAGGAGGATTGAACAAGATGCTGTTAGTGAGCCCCCACTCCCTAAGTTAGCCAACCACCTCCTAGAGAGAGGTAGAGAGGATAAAAACATGCAGAGGTTCTTTAGCTCCTCTCACTGCTTCCTTACTGCTTAGAGAGGCAGTGTCCAGGAGTGTCGTGAAGTGTCCAGGAACTGTCAGTGGGCCTTGTTCTTTGGTGTAGACCTTGGAAATTGCCCAATAATTCCAACCCCTGTTTTCCTTTTATCCTTTCTGTTGTGTTCATGGCTATCCCTCATCCTGGCTCATCTCTTTGGGGTATTTTCTACAGTTACAACCAAGCAATGTGATTTTTCCATTTCCTCCAGCTGCCTCCCCTGAACGGCACACTCCAACCATCCTACGGTTGAATCCAGAGGAGGAAACGGAGAGGATCATTGAAATGCAGCGGTTGGAAATCAAGTACCTCCAAGACCAAATGCAAGGGCAGGAAAAAGCTCTTGCAGTTCGGCCTACATCAGGTTCGAAACTTCCCTTGCTAGAACTGGACAGAAGCAGCGGTGGACAATCACAATGACATGTGCAGAAGACACCCAAACTTAGCTAATCTTCTCTGCATCTCTAGAGAAGGACCCACTCCTACCCTGACCCTTTGGGTTCTTTGTTTTTGTTTTAGCACCTCTGATTCTGGATAGGGAAAGGAAACAATAAACAAGTCAGACCAGATTTGTCTGCCTCTTGCTAATACGTTGCAAGTCTCCAAACAGGAGAAACAAGTGAAAAAACATGCAGAGCACCAGGGAAAAAGCTGGCTGCTCATAGGTGAGGCCATATCTCTACCGCACAGCATAGCTCTGTTTCAACTCAAAGCAAAAATCCTGGTGGAGACAGGACCCTTGTGCCTAGCATTGATGTAAGAAAGTCTCAACTCCACACATTCTCTGTCCTCTGAGCTAGTCTGGGAAATAAAGGATTGCCTGCCTCTTTTCCCATTGGCAGCAAAACTTTGATTGATGAGACCCTGTTGGTACACTCTGTGGCAGATCCATTGCTCTCTTCTGAGTTGCTTTTCCAGCTATTTGCAGAACAGTAAGTCTGTGCACGGCTGACTGCAGGTGTGAACCTACTTACACACCCAACCTAGGAGTCCTCAATCCTTCCCCATATCTAATTAAACAAACAAACAAACCTGTCAGCTGAACTGAGGGCTAAACAGAAATATATTTGCATATGTAGGCACATGTGCATGCGCACACAAGATGCCAATAGAGAGGGAGAGTAATGGACCTTGGGGAATTCCACCTTGGGGCAACTGATGCTTGCCATGATATGCTTGAGTTGGTACTCAGAGCAGGGCCTGAGAAGCAGGTTGCTATTGACATAGGGGACAATATAAAAAAGGCACTCCCTAAGATATGTGGGGTCCAGGCTGCAAATGACTTGACAGGTATGCATCAGGGCCTTGAATGGAAGTTGGAAGCATATTGACAGCCAGTGAAAATGCAACGAAACTAGCTGACTGTGTTTGCAACAATAATATGCCTTCTGCTTTTCGGATACCAACATTGACTGTTCTGTAATCTAATCTCCTTAGTAACGTATCCTTTTCACAACACAACCATTTGTTTTCTGTCCTCCATGAAGCAACAAAGCAAAAGCAGTTCAGCAATTTATGGTGCGCTGGTGATAAGCTATACCCTTCAAGTTATTCCTCCCTGACTTATCAGAACAAGACTCTGCAGCATCCTGGGTCAAGTAGTTTCACTATTCTATTAATTATTTGCATTTACTAATCAAAAGCCTTCTGAAATTCACAAATTCACCAGTTGCTATAACTGCTTTAGAAACTTTTTTAGAAGATCAGCAGAGGGGAGTCCTTAACAAGGCAGATGCTCTTCAGAGTAAGCTACATGTAATGCTTTCTATGAACTAATTAATAATATGCATGCCTACAATACCTAAATCATTCATATCCCATGTTCTTCCGTATGTCCATCACTAATTCTTCCGGCAATGGCAGCGGATGTGAATCAATCTTTTTCTTGATAATTATTAGGTAGCTAGGAGTGATCTTCCTCTGACAGGTGCTTAAAACACTCCTTAATAGTTAAGTCTTTGCTCCACAATGGTGCAATGCTGCCCTCAGGTGAGAAGTTTTTCCCATGGTGCACGCACACACAGGCACTTCAGAAGATGTAATTAGAGAACATGCCATAAGGATGTTGTCCTGATCAGAGAAGATTGCTGAACAACCCACTGCTGACAAACCATCTCACCAAGGGACTTTCGGAGTCTAGCACTTGCTGGAAGATTACTCCTAGACCAGAGGAAGTTCATGGAACAGAGGCAGAATGGCAATGTAGGTTTTATTGGATGTTTTAGCTATGTTTACGGTCATGTCTTGGATTCTGAGGCAGCATAACAATCCTTTGTGCTCATGTCATGCCTGCATCACACGGTAAGGTTTTTCTTTTCTTTTTTTACAAGAAGGTATGTTAGCATTCTTCTTTGTGTCAACATAGCTATGAAAACCATGCTTTGCATCCTAGCGCACACTTAGTCTTCATATTTCACCCAGTGTTTTCCAAATAAAACTTGCATGTTTTTAACAGGAATCAATTCACACCCGGTATCAGTGCAGCATTGTCTCCTGCTAAAACATACCTGTTTAAATCAGACAGTATCTCTAGAGTAGGGGAGAGGGTAAGTATTATACTGTATAAAGGTAAAGGTAAAGGGGACCCCTGATCATTAGGTCCAGTCGTGGCCGACTCTGGGGTTGCGGCACTCATCTCGCTTTATTGGCCGAGGGAGCCGGTGTACAGCTTCCGGGTCATGTGGCCAGCATGACTAAGCTGCTTCTGGCAAAGCAGAGCAGCACACTGAAACGCCGTTTACCTTCCCGCCGGAGCGGTACCTATTTATCTACTTGCACTTTGATGTGCTTTCGAACTGCTAGGTTGGCAGGAGCTGGGACCGAGCAATGGGAGCTCACCCCATCGCGGGGATTCGAACCGCCAACCTTCTGATCGGCAAGTCCTAGGCTCTGTGGTTTAACCCACAGCGCCACCCGCGTCCCTATTATACTGTATCAGTTGTGCAAATTGGTAGTCAACCAGAAGAAAGGTGTTGAAGACAGGGTTAGGGTGGGAAGTAGTACCACAGATTTACAGAAGGAAATGCGAATTGTCATGCACATAATCAGGCATTACACCAGACAGTTTATGTTGCAAGAAGCCTACCAGAAGTTCAAAAAATCCTTCCAACTGAAGAGATGACCGTTGTCATTTATAGGAAAGGAATATGTGCTATTGTATTACACTCCGGTAAGGGAAGACACAATAAATGAAGAGAGGGAAGAGTAACAGAATCCAATAACTCGGCATGATTTAGAAATCGCATAACCTGGAATTGTGACTTTTTGTCAGGAACGAGATAGGTAGGAAATGTGAAGCCAATGGAAGACAGGCCTTGCAGTATGTGATGGCAAGGTAGGGGAGAAAGAGGAAGAAAAGCAATCCTAGACTGCTGCTGTCACCATCAACCACAAATCTTTTAGCACTCAAAACCCTGGTGGCACTTGGCTTGACCGTGTGCTGGATATGCTGAACTCTGACGTGAGCTTGCTGGATGGCCATATACATGGTTCTCTTTCTATCACATTTATCTATCAAATGGATATAACAATATCACCTATCATAAGCTTTCCCCGCTCCCACAATAATGAAGTACAGGCAGTATTGGAGTATTGAGATAAAAATATGTATTAAGTCAAGCCTTCAATCTCATGAAAAGCAAGACATTTACAAGTCTTAGAAAATATCATATGCAATCTTCTCCCCCCCAAAAAACTGAATGCTGTGTTGCACCAACTATCTTGAGTGTCCCATAGCAATGGTACTTGCCTACCCACTCAGTATTACTTAAATATACCTCTGTATACTGAAAGGATTTGGGAACCTTAAGTTAATGGATAGAAGGGGGGCAGAGAGAGATGGTTCCTAGTCTCTCTATTTTGTTAATCCAAAAACCAAGTACAGTGGTACCTCGGGTTATATACGCTTCAGGTTACATACGCTTCAGGTTACAGACTCTGCTAACCCAGAAATAGTACCTCGGGTTAAGAACTTTGCTTCAGGATGAGAACAGAAATATTGCTCCGGCAGCGCGGCGGCAGCAGGAGGCCCCATTAGCTAAAGTGGTGCTTCAGGTTAAGAACAGTTTCAGGTTAAGAACGGACCTCCGGAATGAATTAAGTACTTAACCCGAGGTACCGCTGTATCTTGTTTATTCACTTACTTTATTTTGATGAAACCATCATGGGAGGAAAGGCTTCGAGGGTGTAAGGGGTTTACTGCCCATCAGTCAAAGTCTGATCCATTCATTAGCCAATATTCCCACAAGTCCCTACTCTTTTAGAAGTGATTATAGCATACTATCCTAGTCATACCGTTACTACTTAGACACCAAGGCAGGCATAGGCAAACTCAGCCCTCCAAATGTTTTGGGACTACAACTCCCATCATCCCTAGCAAACAGGACTAGTGGTCAGGGATGATGGGAGTTGTAGTCCCAAAACACCTGGAGGGCCGAGTTTGCCCATGCCTGCACTAAGGCCATGAGAAGATCCTGCCCGGTCAGAACTTTTTCTCCCAAAGGCCAATAAAATGCCTTGCTTTAGGCTAAAAGAAAACCTCTCTTTTCAAGAAGTCTGATGAAGATTCCTACCTTCCTGACGGGTGCACAAAAATGCAGAATGGCTGTGTTTCTTTCCTGGCACCTCCCTGCATTCTAAATGGCTCCATGCCTCTCTGCTGCCCCTTAGCAAAAGTCAGAATGTGACTGCGCTGCTCCTTAGGGGGTGGAAATGTGAACCCGTCTGGCAAGGAGCTTGTCTGGTGAGGGTTAACGTAGAACTCTTTCAACCTGTATTTGCTTACCTCTGCCTGTATTGTATATCCTCCTGTCTCCCTTGCTCCATCGGCCTTCTTATTTCCGCTTCCCTCAAGCACACAGTCACCAGGCTGGAATGCTTCCAAGGACAACAGCAGGTTGTCTCTCCATCCCCACCCTTCTGGAGAATGTACCTGCCTGGGCAAAGGTCAGCGTGTGCTACGAGCCTATCAGACGCGGCACCTGGGCTAGGACAGGCGGAGGAAGGAGGTGGGACTTGCACCTGTTGCTTGACAGGTAGACGCAGGCAGGGAGGGAAGAAGATAGATTTTAATTTTATCCTCGGGCCACAACCTGAAAATTGTCCCATCCGTCAAGTATAATAGCAGGAGAAGACGATACCAGCATTCTGGCAAGTCCGAGAGCTTAGGCAAAAGAAACAAGACTTGCTACAGCATCTTCTGTGAAGAATCAGCTTTAGGTGAGTGAAGCTGATGTCCCTTCCAGCAATTACCTGGTTGTCTCCACTACATACTGTCATCTTCCCTTTCAGTCAAGGCTTGGCGTGGGATTGGAAGCTCTTCAAATTCCACACGTACACACTGCTCGTCCCTTGTTAGCCTACAACTATGTTTAGAGGCATTCCTGAGGGATTGGTGTGCTGCCTTGTGCTCAGATACCTTCAGGATATGAGGATGTGTGGAAAGGAGAAGGGGTCTTTCCTCAAAGCTGCTCTTCCTCAGATCACCACCCCCACCATTATTTTAACTTCATTTAATAACGGCTTCCTAGGAAACATCTGTTGCAACTGTGAAACTGCTAGCAGATTTGCAGAGCTAAGCAGAGTCTGGTACAGTTTCATATTGGATGGGGGACTGTGTGTTGAGATTCCTGCATTGCAGAGGGTTGGACTAGATGATCCTCAGGGTCCCTTCAAACTCTACCATTCTAATACAACATGATCTCAAAGTGCCTGGAAGCATTCCACTATGTCTGCCCTTGTTCAGTAGCCCCATAGACTTAGCTGTGATTCTTGCATAGCAGAGGGCTGGACTAGATGACTGTGGGGGTCCCTTCCAACTCAACAATTCTACGGTTCTAAAAGCAGGAAGGGGTGAGAAGGAGTGCGAGAGGTCCTTTCCCATATGGGTTAATGCTGAATAGCTGGCAATCCAAGCTGGCTACTGTAATCCCTTCCTGGCCGCAGGCAATCCAGCCAAACACAGCAAGCAGTGTCTTAGAAGCCATCGTGTGCCAACAGCAGCACAGATCCCAGGCAAGTACCGCTTAGAGCACACAGCTGCTCTTTCGCCTGCTTGGCATATAAGTGACGTGGATGGAACCATGGACTTGGATGCCTCTGCCCATGGATCCACAGGGTACAATCGGTTGTTCCTCCAGGAGTTCAAACTTCACACACAGGTAGAATGGAAAGGCTTGTGTGGTGCACGGAGAGGGTGGGGGAATTTATTCAACTCCTCCTGGTCTTCCTACAAGTCACTGAGCTTTGATTTCTGCATCAATGCAGCCTCAGCTGGCAACGTGCCCTGAAGAAGCCTGTTCTCCTTATGGTTTTAACAGTGATCTCATGCTCTGTCAGGCTTGGCCTGACACGGTCAGGCTGTGTCTGGATCAGGCCCCTCCCCTCTCTGACCACCTGGTTCTGCCAAGGCAAGGCTCAAGTAGCCACTGATCTAGATGTTAAGCAATTGGCCAGAATAAAGGGGGTCTGTTACAAGAGGAGCAGGGATTTTTAGCTATCCCCTTAGTTCCCTGTAATGTAGTAGTACTTTTACTGAACATCTTCCAGATCTCTTAACTGACGCAGCAACAAGAGTTTAAACTGGCTTTTAAAGATAGCCTGGACCCATGCATGTTTAAAAGTTTACTCACGAGGCAACTCCTACTGACTTCTAAGTAAGTGTGCATATGATTGCAGCCTTAGATAGTGGTGGATTTTAACAGTAAGATGCTCGTATGATTAGACCTCACTTCGCTTTGACCCATGAGCCACATTTCCTGCTCAGTCCTGATACCTGACTGATATCTCCAAAGCGCACTTATCTTTAGTGCTGAGCTGAAACAGGGTAGTGGTGCATTTTGTGGAGATCTCTGGCCCCTCTGATACGATTCCTTGCCTTTTCATCCATTTTTACATTCCTCGGCAAAAGGGGATGAATAAACTGTAAGAAGGTGGATGCCGGAGGAAGAGTGTGCATGCCTCTGTTGCCAAAGCAACAGGGCAAACGTTCCCTCAGGCTGGGATGCACATGCGAAGTGCCTCCCATTGAAAGGAATGCAATGCAAAGACAAGATATGCAGGTGTCATTTCTCTGGACTGCATTGCTTCCAATGGGATGCGCATCTCAAGGCAAGAGAGTTTCTCCCCCTTACACCAGTGGCAGTACAGGGAAACCATATTTGTGAAAAGGCCCTTTAAAAAAGGATAAAAGAGGATGAAGGTAAGGGATTTTATTTATTGTGAAAACTTTCAAGTGGCAGCTTTGACAGTGAAAAATCGTAATGAAAATGCATCATAGCATTGTGTTGCTCTACTTTTAGCATATCCTCCTACCAGTGTTTGGCATTTCCCCACCACAGACATGTAATGGTAAGAGAGTAAGATGGTGCTTTATTGTGCAAGAAGCTTTAAACTCTGCCAGCTTAGACAGTGGGATGCAAAGCTCCCTCTCCACAAGGGCTGTCTTCAGTCATTCACATTCCTGTATACAGTCGTACCTTGGGTTACAGACGCTTCAGTTTGTGTGTTTTCGGGTTACGGACACGCCGAAACCCGGAAGTACCGGAACAGGTTACTTCCGAGTTTCGGCGCTCATGCATGCACAAAAGTGCTAAATCGTGCTTTGCGCATGCGCAGAAGCGCCAAATTGCAACCCGCACATGTGCAGACATGGCGCTGCGGGTTGCGAACACTGCGGGTTGCGAATGTGCCTCCCGCATGGATCACACTCGCAACCTGAACGTCCACTGTACTCTACAGCAGGAGAGGGGAACCTCAGTCCCAGGCACCAAATGCAGCCTTGGGACTCTCCCTAAGCTACACCCCACATGGGTCCTACCCCACACCTTCCTTCTGTGCTTTTGCTTGGCTGGACTGTGCCCTAGGCCTGTCTTGATTGATTTTGTTTGTCTGGATGGGAGATGGAGAGATGTGTGTACATGTGGAATGAGGCCTACTTATTTGTTGTTCTGTCCGCTCTTTTAAAAAATTCCATTTACAGTCATACCTCGGGTTACAGACGCTTTGGGTTGCACGATTTCGGGTTGCACACTGCGCTGAACCTGGAAGTACTGGAACGGGTTACTTCTGGGTTTCAGTGCTTGCACATGCGCAGAAGTGCTAAATCGTGCTTTGCGCATGCACAGAAGTGCCTAATTGCAACCTGCGCGTGTGCAGACGTGGCGCTGTGGATTGCAGACGCTGCGGGTTGTGAACGTGCTTCCCATGCGGATCACGTTCGCAACCCGAGCGTCCACTGTGTAGACTGCTTTACTATCCAAAACACCTCGAAGAAGTTTACATACAGAATAAGTGCTGTTAAACCATATCGAATGATTCACATAAAAAAATACATAAAAATATACATATCCTAAAAAAGTAATACCCCTCTTGCCCCACCTACTTTTGCTTCTGATCTTGCCCACCTCTGGCTTCTGGCCCTCAGGCTGTAAAGGGTTCCTTATCCTGCTCTGTAAGAGGAATTGGAAGCCTGTAGATCTCGCCATTTCCATCAGTCTTGTGGGATGTCGCGAGTTGTAGCACAACATCCTGAGAGCCACCGGCTCCCCACTCCTGCTATAAAGTCACAAATGGTACTATACTATACAGTACGTAAAATACAGGTCAGTCCGAGGCAAAAGGTAGACAGCAAGAAGCTGAGTGGCTTTGAGAAGATTAAGGGGCAGCATGCAGATTTAGCAAGCACTGCATTTACTAATAAAAATGACTGTTTTCCATTCTGTTCCTGCCATTTTCAATATCTGTCTAAACAAAGTTTGTAGCTGTAGAGGCTGCAAAGATATTCCAAGGTTGCCTTGGCAGGGATGCACTTGCTTGGGACAGTAGCATTTCTGTCTGTTAAGTATGGGAATCCTTAACAGCCATTTCCTGGAGATTCCCTGGAGGGAGACGTCAGGAGCACTGGCAGACAAAGGTGGGGGCATGGCGAGTGGTCCGCCCCAGGTGTCGTGCTGAGGGGGGTGACATCGCGGCCACCCCCGCCCCTCTGGGACGCTCGGCGCTCCCTGCGCACCACCAGGATGTGCGTCGCCTGCCACGCACCCCGCGGGTGGCGCTCTATGCCCCTGGGACGCGGTCCAGCCATGCCCCCAAATGCCACGCCCCTGGTGCCACAGCAGGTAGCTCCACCACTGGTCAGGAGAGCAAGGTGTTTACGTGTGGTTACATGTAGAGACAACTGACAAATGGTTTGCATCTGAGCAGTGGGGTGGGGTGGGGGGGGGGAGAGAGAGAGAGCTTACTACACAGAAGGTCCTAGCACCCCATCCAGGTCTCCGTTCTTCCTAGACAAAGACTTGCGCCTCAAGGGTTAAGGCAGCCTTGACGCAAGGATCTATTGTTCAACAAGCCGGAGAGCCAGTTGGTGACAAGAGGCAGATGCTGATGAGGAACCATGTGAGGCTGGTGCTGTGAATGGGGCTTTATTACTGTGTGGGATCCCTGCCCTCTGCCACTATCCTTGCTGTCAGCACCAGCGGCGAGCACAGCTCAGCTGAGGGATGTTGTGGCGATCTGATCCAGGAGCCCTAATGCAGCTAAGCTTTGACGGACAAGGCAGGTACTCGTACAAGACAGGGACACCAGGGGCAAGCTTGCTGAGGGGAGATCCAAGATGGCAGCACCAGTGAGTGGAATCTATTAGAATTCCTGGAGGGGGGTGCTGCTTATGAGGGCCCATTGACCCATCCCCATTAGGGCTGCCGTATGTCTAGATTTTCCCAGACATTACTGGGATTTCAAAGGCAGATTTGACACCTGGGGGGAATTTCCAAAAGGCTGCGCTTTGTCCTGGATCTTAGGCAAGTCAATTTGGGGGTCTTCAGCGTGTCCTGGTTTTTACTTTTTGAAATATGGCAACCCTAATCCTCATTGGAAGTGGGATGTCATTGCGAAGGCCTCCATGTGGAAGATCTCTTCAAAGAAGGAT